TTCCAACGGGACGGAGGAAGTATTATATTCCTTTGTTATTTATATACCCCATTTCGTTTCAAGTGAAACTATTACTTTTATTATTTTCATTTGTCTTATTTACATGTATTCATTTTCTATCATTGTAAAAATACATACATTAATATTAACATACTATTTAATTTTTAAATAATTTATAAACATACAATTACATATACAATAATTTATACTAACACAACATAGTATTGTATCGTATAGAAGCATGTGTTGTACAAGTCATATATATTCTATTGTGCTACATAGAATTATATCATATATTGTAAAAATATGTATCGACAGTTAAATATGCATCTTTTATATATATATATATATATTTGTTGATTGGGTCAAATTAGCATTGTATTGATTTGACTCAGTCAGCACCATAACTAAAGCTGTTAAACGAATCGAGCCGTTCGTGAAATTAGTTTGGTTCGGCTCGATTAAAGCTCGTTCGCGAACGTTAACGAGTCGAGCCGAACAAAATAAACAGGCTCGTTTGGTTAACGAACGAGCTCGAACTTTGTTCACAAATTTTTGTTTAAATAATATATTTATTGTAAATATTATATACACATATAAAATTATAATTTATAAATAAATAAAATATTAATTTAAAATATATAAATAAAATAATTTTAAATTTTCTTTATAATTTATATATAAATTTTAAAAAATAAGACAAACGAGCTCGAACGAGCCTAAACGAGCTAAATACGAACACGAGCTCAAACAACAAAAATTCTTAACGAGCCGAACTCGAACACTACAAACGAGCTCGAAAGCTTAACAAACGAACACGAGCCTTGTTCGCGAATGTTAACGAACGCTTAAAATTTGGCTCGGCTCGGATCGTTAACCGCTCTAACCGCATTAATAGATGCAGTGAAAATATCTAAAGATTAAAATACTTTAAAGTTGTAAAAGCTACGTCTAATAAAAAATGTGTGTTGAAATGAGTATTTTAGTACTTTTATATGAAACAATATGTGATATTTATTAATCATCTCGTTCATCAAATTTATATATATATATTTTGTCCACAAAAAGTATATACTTTTTATTTATTATAAGTAATTCGTATACCTTCTTTAATTTTTACTTTTCAGTATTTTATTTAGTTATCAATATACCACAACTATTTATATTCAAGTTATTCAAAATTTTTTCTCATCTCATCAACTCACTCCAAAATACCCATATTTTTAAAAAAATAAAAAATAAAAAACATCCATATTTTATGTCATAATAAATTAATATAATATTATATTTATTAAAATTCATGTTCATCTCGTATAAATATGTCTATTGTTTGTGCACATCATAAATAAACCCTATATTAATTATTAACAAATACAAAAGTTATATGTTCAATCATATACATAAAAGTATTATAAATTAATTTAATTAAATATTTTCAACGAAGAATGCACAAATGGATCATTTTACTCCTATTATGTAAAAATATATTTATTTAGTTTGGACAAGAATTTAATGTGGTTTATATTTTTTATTTCTTATAGTAAAAAATTGAAAAAATAGTTACAAAGATTATAAAAAATAGTACTCTCTCCGTTCTTAACAATCTATCAATTTTTTCATTTTGGTCCATCTCATAATAAAATATCTATTTCTTTTTTAGTAATAGTACTATCTACCTAACATTAGAAATATCCTTTCAATTTATAATATATTACACAAATGTCATTACCTTTATATTATACCATGCTAATAGGGTTAATTTAATCTTTTTACCTTTATTTTCATTTTATCCCAATATAATATTAATATTTCTAAAACTCCGTATAAAAAATAAATGGATATATAGATATGGAAGAAAGGGACCATAAGTTTTTGCTTAGAAAAAATGAGCATATATATATTTATGACAAACAAATAAAAAAATGGACATATTTTTATAACAGAGGGAGTGATTTTTAGTTGTATTGTCACAAAATGTTTCTTATTATGCCATTATTAAAAATAAATAAATTACTAAATTTTGGATCTTCATTTATTAAATATTTTCAATTCAAATTCATCACTATCAATTTTTTACAATCTATATAACAATTCACATCATATCATAACTATGAACTTTATAACTTGTTTTCCTAAAAGACAATCTATATATGTAAAAATGTGTTTATAATAGTCACACATATCTCATTTCATAAAATCACACAAAAGCTACGCATAAATACTTCCTCGGTCCTAGATAAGATGGTCGCATTGCTGTAGATACGATAATTTAGGTAAAATATAATTAGTAAGTAATTAAGAAGTGTATTATTAAAAATAATTATTATTTAGTAAAAATAATTATAGATTAATATTAAGATAACTAAATATTTTAATTAATATAAAAAATTTAAATTTTAAATTTTAAAATATGATTAAAGTGTATAATCAATTTTCCAAAAAAGGAAAGGACAAATTATGTGGGACGGACGAAAATAGAAAATAGGGACAAATTATGTGGGACGGAGGGAGTATAAATTTCATTAGCATATTTAGTCGTGCATTTACATTGTGTTCGATTAACATTTTATTGTTACCTGATGTCTAAAAAATGGTGGTGACTATAGCGCTGAATTTAAAATTCAACAATGTAATGTATTGAACAACACGCAACGAACACACTGCATTACTATTTCTATTGACAACACATTCATTTATATAAATATAATAAAAACAAATGATGTAATCTCATACAATACATGATGTAATCTCACACAATACATGCAACAATTGATTTTAGCACATGATATATTTTTATATAACACATGATATAATTATGAACAAACAACATATACTTTTACTATAAATAATACATATTGTGTGTAATAAAGATATGTGTTGTTTCTATATTTTACATGTGCTGATTTTCCCAAATCAAAATTTTATTCAAATGATATACTCCCTCCGTCCCAAACAAGGTGCAACATTTACTTTTGGCACGAGTTTTTAGGTAGGTAGTATTAAGTATGATAATTTAGAAATTAGATGATGTGATGGAGAGAGAAATACATATTTTATTTTTTTTTATTTGGATGATGTGAAGGGATAAAATGTGGGGTAGATATTAAGTATAATTAATTATTTTCTATTTTGGAAATTTTGCAGGATGTTTGGGACATACCAAAAAGGAAATGTTGCAAGGTGTTTGGGACGGAGGGAGTAATATATTGTGATGCCCCGTAATTGACTCGTTTCCAAACCAACTCCTGTATATGGATAGCCGATGCTCAGTTATCTAAGATTGAATAAAAATTAAATAGATTGAATAAACTATTTATGTAAACAATGTCCATATTTAAAAAAATATACTTGTTTGAGAATAATTTAAGAATAAGTGACATTTATTCTTATATCTCACAAAAAAAAAAAGAAAAATTCAAAAATTATAAATACTAATCAAATACATTGCTTCCAATATTTTTCATCTTAGATATTTTTCAATATTTTTTATAAATGTTAGCAACTTATAATGTTGCATTTTAATCTTTCATTTAAATAAATAAACATATCTATATTTATAATAAAAGTAAGAGTGTGTTAATTTTTTTTAAAAAAACCATCATTCAACTTATATAATTTCTAATAAAAATATAATATTTTTGTAATAAAATATTGCATAAAAAATATTATATAGACCTAAATTTCAATAGAAAAAATCAAACCTAAAACATAAACCAAACAAACCCCAATTCAAATTAGTTATGGATAAATTTATAATCAAACAATAAAATCAAACTTTCAATTGCCATGTTAATCAATAATCAAATAGTCTTGTGCTAAGTGATGCTTGTTATGTATAATAACAACAATTTTTGAACCGAATTTTATAATTTAATATTGACATACAATAAAATTGATATTAATATAATACAAATACAAATACAAAATATGAACCGACAATATATGCTATCGTTAATTGCAATACACAAAATATGTCCATAGAACACATCCTATATAAGTATGAATTTCTTAGAACATAATTGAAATTATTATATCATGATCAATTTTCAATAAACTCAAATTAAAATCTAAATTCAATTGAAAATATCAATTTATGATTTAATTAATCATTCTTAATTTAGGTGTTTGTAAAATACATATTCAAGGTTTGTTTGTCTAGTGTTTTGATTTGAATTATTAGTAGTATTATTATTATTTTTGAAGTGAGGTATAGAGAATCGTATTACTAATATAAGAAATAATATATTTTATATTTAATATTATATTTGTCCGACTACGAGGATCTCATTTATTTTTTGCGTGTTGATCTTTAAATATTAATTATTATATCAAAACATAGTACAAATTAAGAAAAAATTACAAAATACTTCAATTAGTGTTTTATATTACTAATATAATACATTTGTGCTTAAAAATTATACAAATATAAAATTATTTTTAATGTTAAATACAATGACACAAAAAGTAAATATGACCTTAGAGGCGGACATAAAAAGTATTAAATTTTTGTAAAATGAGAAAATATAAATTGAAAATTGTATCCGAAAAAAAACTTTTGAATGAACAAACCCTCAGTAATTATTATTGTTATTATTATTATTAATTTTAAGTAGTCTCCTCTCATTTAATTAAGTTCAAATTTTCCAAATAAAAATGAGAATTTATTACAATAAATAAATAATTAATATGGAAATATAAGCTGTCTGAATTTTATGAAACAAAACAATAGTAGACCAAAAAATAGTAAAAAAAATAAAAAAAAAAAAAAATAAAAGTGATATTTTTTTTTTCAATTTATATATATAAAAAAAATATAAATAGAAAAGACATCCAAAAATATATTATTATAACCTAATCCATAAATAATACCCAACAGTGAGCTGAGAGATTCTTCCTTTATTACCACTACACGACAAAATACTCTTCCAAAAAAACCCTACACTTTATCCACTCTCACCATCGAAGCAAAGCTTAGAAAGAAACAGTTGATCTACTGTGAAGTTACCACACAACACATCTTCTCTTCCCCCAAATCCCAAACCCTAATTTTTATAATTTCTTAAATTTTTAATTTCGATTTATTTCATCACAAGCTGAAAAAATTTCCCCCAATTCTCCACTCCTCCCTCAACCACTCACCGAAAATTCCCCCTTTTTTTTTTCACAACAAGAAACCCAAAAGCGAAGGGGGATTCCCTCTCTCTCACTCTACATTTCTCTTTCTTTCTCACTCTAAATCCATGGAGAAAACCCTCGGGGAAGAAGAAAACCTACATTGCTGAAATTGCTGCAATGGGGAAGCCGGAGGATGGCCGCGCTTTGGCGAGTACTGCACTTGATGCGCAGGGTACAACCCCCAGTGCAGGGGCTAGGGATTCCTGCTGCTGTACTTTCCCCCAATTCATCTCTTTCAGATGCGTCTTCGTTTTGCTGCTCGCTTTTGCTGTCCTCCTTTCGGCTCTATTTTGGCTCCCGATTTTCCGATTCGGAGATCGTGAGGATCTGGATCTGGACTACAGAGGTTGCCTGCTTGATTTAATTTCGTTTGAATTTATTTTGTTTTGGGGGTTTTGAATGTTTTGAATTTGTGGCTGTCGGCATTCTGGTTTTATCTGCAGATCTGATGAGTGTTTGGTTTGTTAATTGAGTTTGGATCTTTGTTCGTGTTGGAATTTGTGGTTTTTTGTAGTGAAATTCGTCTCTGTTTTGTGTCGGTGGGAAGATTTTGCCGATGAATTTGTATGCACTGTTCATGTTTTTGGATGTTTGAGGTTGTGATTTGGATTGATTAGCTCATGTTTGTGTGGTTAATGTTCTTTGAAATTATCCAATTTGTTTGTGCATTTGATGTTGTAATTTGGTCTGTTTTGTGATTTTTGTTGAAATTGGATCTTATGCTTTCGTTTTATGGAGATACAATGTTGTGAATTTACAGCATTCCTTCGAGAAATGTCGAGAATTAGCGAAACAATTTGAGTGTGTGTTCTTTTGAGGGTTTCGATTTTGTGTTTAGGATTTGAATAGTAAAAATTTTGAATTGGAATAGTTACATGATGTGATATAAATAGGTGTTTGATTTGATATTTTTGGAAGAAAAAAAAAATTGGTGAATAGTAAAATTCGGTGTAGAAACTCACAAATGAACATGTTCGAATTTTCGCAAGATTTCGAGACAGCTGAAGATTTAGATTTTTTGTAGTTTGTTGCTGTACTAGGATGTGTTAAATGAGTTCGACAATTTTAGCATTTATTCGATCGTAGAAATGCCTTGAGTTGAAGTCAATTGATAGATTGATCAATCAATGCCGTTGTAATATTCTTGCGCGTCTATGTTTGTTTTTTTGTCTGATTATTATTTGTTCTGTAAATTTGTCGATCAAATTTCTTAACGTGGCGTTTGCGTTGTTCTTCCCAGGTCACGATATAGTTGCGAGTTTCGTCCTGAAACATCCGGCGACGTTTCTTGAAAAAAACATCTCGCTACTCGAGGGCGATATCTTTGCTGAAATGAGCTATTACTATACGAAAGTACGTTTTCGCGATCTTGCCTGATTATGTTTTCTTGCGTGTAATAAAATACGAATGTGAAAGATGAATTGAAGTTGCTTATTATGACAGGTAGAGATCATTTCTCTAGAGCCCGCCGGATCGAACATGACGAGGGTCGTTTTCTCGGTCGACTCCGATTGGGCCACCCGGAGCATAATTCGAGAGCTGTTTGTGACTTTAGTTACGCAGCAATCGTTTCTTTCCCTCGGCTCCGGAATGTTCGGCGATCCGTCGTCGTTCGAAATTCTCAAATTCCGCGGCGGGATAATCATAAGCCCGCCGGAGCAAAAAGCGTTCACGCTTCAATCTGTTCAAATCCTTTTCAACTTCACCTTGAACTTTTCCATCGACGAAATACTCGACAATTTCGACGAGCTCGTGACCCAGCTCAAGACGGGGTTACGTCTCGCGCCGTACGAGGTTTGTCCGAGGATTTCCGTCTTTTCTTTATCTCGATAAAATGGATAAAACCGCGTTGTCGTCTTTACTTATGATCGTTGTTTCGAATGCAGAATTTGTATATTAGCTTGATTAATTTGAAGGGCTCGACGGTGGCTCCGCCGACGACGGTGCGGTCGCAAGTTTACTTGGCGGTGGGAATCCCGTCGAAGTCGAGGATCAAGCAATTGGCGCAAACGATAACGGGATCCCATAGTAAGAATCTCGGCTTGAACAACACCGTATTCGGACGGGTCAAGCAAGTTAGTCTTTCGTCGATTTTGCAACACTCCCTCGGAAGCGACGGGAGTCCGTCGCCGGCCCCGTCTCCGTCTCCTCTCCACCACCCTCACCACCGCCGCCACCACCACCACCACCACCACAACCCCGCCGTTTCTCCGAGTACGTCACCATCGCCGTCCCGGGGCAGCCACGGATCTTCGAGGGGGGGAGGGTCGGGTACATCCGCCCCTACACCTACACCCGCACCCGTACCGGGTTCGGGAAAGAATAAAGCGGCGCCGCCGCCGTGTCATTTCGGAAACAGTCATCGGTATCCTTGGAAGCACAATAAGCATTCTCATACGCCCCCGGGATCTGCTCCGGATGCGGGTGCCCCGACGCAACCGAAAATGGGACAGAACCCGTCGTCGAAAAAGTCTCCGTCGCCGGTTCCGGCGAGTCCCCCGAAAATTGCTCGCGCGGTTACTCATCCGCCGTCGAAGGGCGTTGCGGTTCATGCTAGACCGCCGGATTCGATGCCGATGGTTTCTCCCGCCCCGTCGCCATGTGAGTATCTTCTTGTTTTTTGAATTTCCTTGTTATTCACTTTCTCCGTCGTTAAATTTAAGTAGTTTTGTCTGGGCATGAAGATTAAAAAATAAGTAACCAGATTAAAAAATAATAGTTTTTTAATATAAAAATGGATAAATAACAAATTAAATGGGATATAATATGAAATTCATAAATAGTGGGTAACATTTTAGTGAGAAATTTAACTGTACTGGCAAAATGGTTATTACATATTGAAATTGACGTAGGGCCCTTAGTCTGTAATAATTATGTTATTCTTTATTTTTTGGTTATCCACTAAATTGATTCATAATTCATTTGTATTTTATGATTTTATTCACGTACAATGTAACAATGTTATTATTTTGGCAAAATTGCCCATATATCTCGTGGTTTCGAAACTCGGCATAAATTTTTTGTACTTTAAAAATATTTTTTGCATGACGGGTTTCATGCAACATTTTTTAAAGTATGAAAAAGAGTCATGTAATTTCTAAAGTACAGAGTCGAAACCACACGGAAGTTGCGGACAATTTTGCGTATTATTTGTATTTTAATAAATACGGATAATCAATTTCTATTATACCCAATTTTATTTTTTTATCTACTTTCTTTATATATTAAAATACTACATCCGTCCCCGGCTCTAAGGTCTCATTTACTTTTTACGTATTGATATTTGAATATTAATTATTATATCAAAATGTAGTATAAAATTAAGAAAAAATTGCAAAAATACTTCAATTAGTGTCTTATAATACTAATAGAACATTTACAAAAAATTATAAAAATATAAGGATATTTTTAATGTTAAGTACAATGACGCAAAATGCAAATGTGACCATTGCGAACGGAGAGAGAGAGTACTATTTATTTTTTTGTAGTTTTCGTTACAACGGGATTATATTAGACTATGTATAAGTTTAACAGACAACAAAAGATAAAAAAAAAAAAAAAGTCGTAATTTTGGTGAATGAAAAGAGCATAGATAAGCTTTTTTTTTTTGATAAATAGATTATGTATAAATTTAACGGATAACAAAAAGGAAAATATGCATAATTTTGGCAGGCGGAGGGCGTACTACTTAGTATCGATTACATTTCGACATGCTGCAAAATGACAATAATGCTCGTGGCTTTTCGAATACTACTTAAATCGGGTATATCCGTATCTTTATCGATTTTGTATTCTTGCAGCCTCGGCGGGTGCTTTCTCCCCCGATACGTGGGCTATGCTGTCGTCGCCGCTGGTCCTACTTCTGTTATAGCAGCAAGAATCGTCAAAAAAAAAAAAAAAAAAAAATCGAGGAAGCGCGAATCTGTCGGGCCAGCAACGGTCCCAGGTAACCCGGAAATGAGTAGTCGAAACTGGGAAGGAATTTTGGTGGCGAGTGTGGTGCCGAAATCGGCGCGGCCTCGCCGTGAGTGTATTGTATATGTTGTTGTTGTTGTTGTTGTTGTGTTTTGTAAATATACGGTTAAATGTGTCGGTGGCTAAAATGCCGTGGGTCGAGTCCGGCTGGGTCAAAGTCATGGCGGTGACGGGCCCACCGGTCGGTGGCGGCGGCGGCGAGCCACCGACTTGTGTATGATGATGGTGGTGGTGGTGTTCTTCCTCAGAAATTGGAGGGAGAAGTTGCCAAGAAAAATGTATAAACATGAATTTCATGTCTTTCTTGATCTTCTTTTGTTGCAGCTTTGCTTTGTTTCTCTCATTTTTATGGTTTATTGTTATATTGAGGAAAAGTGACAAAAATATTTCTATTAGTGTTTTATAATACTGCTGCAATGATATTTGTGCAAAAATATCTACAAATATAAAGATGTTTTTAATATTAAGTACGACGAAAATATAAATGAGATCTTTAGAGTCGGACATTAGAGCATGGATTAGCTGCGGATCAATATATAGTATAGGGTGACCATAATATATTTATACATATTTCAGCATATTTATAATACAATATATACGTTATATTATAATTCTAATATATGTTATTTTATAACACACATATACACTGAAATATGTATAAAAATATGTTGTCACTTATATGATATATGTTGATTCAGTCAAATCGTATACATTTTTATACAACACATAATTATGAACGGACAATATATGTCTTAATATATACATGAGCTATGCGTAATAAAAGTATGATGTTTATATATTTTATGTGTACTGGTTTGAGAAATAAGTGTCGTAACCATTTTGTACATGTTGTGCTATTACCCTAATCAAATATACCTCACTATGTTCTGATTCACTGTTGCGGGTGAATTTGTGATGGTGAGATAAAAAATTTAAAATCAAAATTTGTATGAAATATAAATTAAAATATAATAGCATTTTAATATTAAAATTAAATATGTAAAAAAGTAAATTAGAAAAATTATGAAATTTTTTTGTAAAAAAGTGATATAGTAAGTACAAATATAATAGCTAATTGATTATTATTTAGTAAAGTAAAAATAATAAACTTATTAAAAACAGATAAATTTGGGGGATAAAAAAAATAATGAGATAATTTTAATTGACGGAAGAGAATAATAAACTTTAAACATGCACTCTTAATTAGCATTTTTTGAACTTTTATTTTGTCACTAATTATTTTTTGTTTTTCAATAAATATGTACAGATTATTTTTATAATGCTACTCGCTCCGTCTCGAATAAATTGTTCATATTATTGTAAATATGAAAACTTAGATAAAATATAATTAGTAAATAATTAAGATATGTATTAGTAAAAATAATTATAAATTAAGATTAAAATAATTAAATTTAATTATGATTAAAAAATTATAAAATATGAAATTTAAAATGACTGCATAATCATATTTTCAAAAAACAAAAAATAATTATGTGCGACGTATAAAAATGAAAAAGTGGATATTTGTCCCATTTTAATTGACACATTTGATTTGGGGCACGATATTTAAGGTAGTATAGTTTAGTGAATTAATAATAGTGATTTATAATTTATTTCATCCGTCCTATTTAATTTGTCTCATATTTTTATTTCTGTCTGATCCCACATAATTTGATTTTTTTTTTTTTAAAAAAATATAATTATACACTTTAGTCACATTTTAAAATTCATAATTTTTTTTAATTTTAATTGAACTATTTAGTCATCTTAATTTTAATATAATTATTTTTACCAATATATTTCTTAATTATTTACTATTACACCGTACCTAAAACTCTATTTAAGCTAAATAGAACAATTTAATTGAGACGGAAAGAGTAGTTTATTTATTTATTTATTTATTTTTATGTGAATAATGAAGTTGATATTTTCAAAATAAAAAGTAAAATATGGAGTATGATTAAAAAAATTAGAATGTGTATTTTAAATATTTTAAACTCCTTGTCTTAGTAAAAGATATACAATATGCATATTACTGTGAAATTGTACATAATACAATTAAATATACAATATTTTTGTTTATTTATAATTAACATAAACTATATATATATTAAAAAAAAAACATTGAAAGTTTAAAATGTAAATAAATATATTTGTTATCGAAAAAAAAGAAAGAAAACATGTAAAATGTTACGTACTAGTAAAATGTTAAAAATTTAATAATTGATGAAAGATATAAAAATTAAAAAGTTTTGTATAAAAGATTAAAAATTTAATTAAATTAAATTCTTTGATACTCTTAACAATATAATCATGTGATGAAAAAAATAAAAATAATAAATAAATAGAGGGTGTAGAATAAATATTTAGGTAAAAAAAAATATTTTTATATAATATATTTATAATTAAAAATATCAATAATAAACATAAATTGGGAGAGGCAAGGCGCAAATCCATATTACTAGAGTGAGTTTTTTTTGATAAGTTTGAATAAAATTTAAGTTAATTTGATATGAAAATAATATTTGATGGAATATTTTGTAAATATATGTATATATATATATTTTAAAAAATGCAGAGTCTAAATAGTAAAATTTGAAAAAATTATGCCAAAAAAAAAAAATTTAATATATTAAAATTTTTATTTTTTAATTTTTATTTTGGGACAACTGACCCCCAAGCCCCTTGCTCGTTCCATCCATGTTCGACAATATTATCATCTATATGATATATTGTTCCATTTTTTCACTATTCCACCTTCTGTTCAATCGATTTCTGTCCATTGATTCAAGAAGTGGAGTACCAACATTCAACACCTCAGTGTAGGCAACATTGGACGACTTGAGGTGGCGAAGGGAGTGGCTGTAATCTAAGCCTATGAGTTATTTTTTTAATTTTTTTTTTTCTTGTATTTACATATTACCCGAAAGTCAAATTTGATCAACAAAAACTCAACATCTTTGTCTCAATTTCTCCGTTTCAAGAACTCCTAAAGGGTGTGTTTGTTTGTGGGTTTTAATTTTTTAGTTTAAATTTTTAATTAGTAAAAAAGTGAATTTAAATAGTTGAATTTTTTTTAAAAAATATTTAAATTTTTTATTTTTTATTTTTTGCTAGGGTGTACTTAAAAAAAAAATAAAATTGAATCGATTAAAAAAAATCGATTTTGCCCCCCGAACTTTTACTGCTGGTTCCGTCACTGGATATACGTAGACTACCATGTAAAATATAAACCATATAGCATAGAATACTACCAATGTTTTATTTTACGAGATCAATTGTTTAAGATCAAAATTTATTTAGTTTATAGTGAAAGTAAAATTACTAATTTCTTTTATATTAAATAAAATTAATATATTTTAATTTATATTTGAATTAATATTGATATTTTTCTTAAATTTTTTTTACTATGATATATAAATAAATATTTAATTTAATATTTCTTTTGAAATAAAAAACTTTTTAAATAATAAATATAAGATAAATCATTCAAAACGTGTGTTGTGAGGGGGTGAATTCTGATTCAAATTCCCTCAATATATATATATTTTTTTAATTTTTTTTAAAAAATCAAATATTATATTTTACTGCATATATTTCCATACCTCTGGTTTTCAATTTGATGAATTTAGAACGAACAATGGAAGAAGATGAAAAGGATATGGATATGGAGAGAAGTTGCTATTGAAATCAATTGAATCGAATAATCAAAATCGAATCGAATGAACGATGGATGGATGGGTAGGGTAGGGTAGGGTAGGGTAGTGTGAAATGGAGCAGAGCCTAAAAATAGCCGACGATGGCGATTGGAAATCGGAGCTCCACACGGAATGTATTTATGGATGAAATTACAAAGCGAATTAGTCGTTTGAAAAAGGTAAATAAATAAGATTCGTGAGTTTTTCCTTTCTCCGGTGACGGAATCGTTCGCTCTCCCGCTCTCCCGTTGCCGTTTCCTTCTCCCTGAATGCCTCACCAGTGTTCAGGGTAAGCTAAGCTCTCTTCTCAGAATCGATCCCTGTTTCCTCTGCCATCGCGGATTTGATTCCTTGATTTTTCTGCTCTTCGTGCTTCAATTTGGTGTTGATTTTCGTTAATTATCCCAATTTTTAGGTTCACCCGGCGCGATTCGATCCTTTGTTGTATCTGTGAGGTTTTTAGGCTTGCGAAGCTGCAGTGGAAGGACATTTCTGTTAATTCAACATTTCTGTGACGTTTTTGTTTCATGAGTATTGACATTTTTAATTCTTTCTTCTCAAACTGCTTCTTCATGATCATGATTTATATGCATATCTGGATTCATGCTATCTAAATGATTTAGGCTGATGATATATTTGGAAGGTTGTTTTTGATTCCATTTTATGTTTTGAATCTCCATTTTCGCCAATTTTGCTGTTGATGGAGAAGCATTGAAATCACAAGAATGGCATCATGTATGTTTTATTTACTTAACTATCTGTGAGCTTTAGGATTGGTAGAAATGGAATTTATCGATGCCCCTTTCGTCTCGAGCTAATTAATCCTTATGTTTCATTGCTGTGCATATTCAATATATGAGTTTGCCGATCGAATATAGTGATTTTTCTTGATTCATTGATCTAAAGTGATGTTTCGGCGAGGTCCATTGTTTGGGCTTTTTGTAACAAGATTATGAATGGTGATGTTTATGGCATATCAATATGTGAGTTTGGGGATCAAACATAGAGAATTTTCTTGATCTATTGTTCTAGATTTGATGTTTTGCTGAGGTCTATTGTTTGGGTTTTTTCGTAACAAGATTATGAATCGTAATGTTTATGGCATATCAATATTTGAGTTTTGATGATCAAACATAGAGATTTTTCTTGATCTATTGATCTAGATTTGATGTTTTGCTGAGGTCTATTGTTTGGGTTTTTCGTAACAAGATTAGGAATGGTGAAGTTTATGATGTTCATCCGGACCATTTTAATGCCAAGGAAACTGTTTTTCTTTTCAAATTTTCATTTTCTTCTATTCCTGCATTCGACAATGGAACACTATGTTTTGTGATGGATGATGTTTTGTTTTATGCTACAGCCTAGTTTTGGCGATTTTTGAGCAGAGGAGCGAAGGTCTAAAATAAGATGGTAGGTGTCGACAAAATTTATGCAGTTCATCATTCTTGTTTCGATATATGGTAGCATTTTATTAGATATTACAATTTGCGATAACACATTTGTTTACTGTTTGATTTTTCTCAGGTGTACGGAGATTAGCACCATGGTTCTAGATGTTGATTTTTGCAGCCTTTTAAATGCGAATTTCAAGTAAGAAACATTACTTCCGCTGCACATTTTGCTATCTCTCATTTATCGTTTCTCTTCGGATTTGTGTAAATTAGAACTGCTAAAGTCATTAGTGAACTTTTAGAAATTCATTCGACTGCACAACCACTGTTAATGATATGCTTTCATATCAAAAAGCTCGGCGATCACGTGCACATAGACGAACATCTTCTCATAACTCTTATCACTTTAGGATCTGCTGAAGACATTTTCACGATTCTTTAAGAACAACAATAATCTTGAAATCTCTTATGAATAGATAACAACTCAAACGTTCGTGATGAGCTAAATATGACGACTTGATTATCCTTGAAACTTTGTTCTTCATTCCTAGTTAATTTATCTACTTCAATGCATTGTGATCTTTAAGGAAAAAACATTACTTTGGTTATTCATGCCTAGTTTTCAACAAATTCACGTTCACAATGAGCTCAAAATGATGACGTGATCATCGTTGAAACTTTGTTCTTAATATCTAGCTAATTTATATACTTCAGTGCTGCGTGATCTTTAAGGAAAAAAAAACATTACTTTGGTTTATTCATGCCTAGTTTTCAACAAATTGACGTTCACGGTGAGCTCAAAATGACGACTTGACTATCGTTGAAACTTTGTTCTTAATGCCTAGTTAATTTATATACTTCAATGCAGCGTGATCTTTAAGGAGAAAATATCACTTTGGTTATTCATGCCTAGTTTTCAACAAATTTCCGTTTATGATAAGCTCAAAATGACGACTTGATCATCGTTGAAACTTCATTCTTAATATCTAGCTAATTTATATACTTCAATGCTGCGTGATCTTTAGCGAAATAACATTACTTTGGTTGGTTAATTCATGCCTAGTTTTCAACAAATTGACGTACACAATGAGCATAAAATGACAACTTGATCATCGTTGAAACTTCATTCTTCCTGCCTAGTTAATCTATATACTTCATTGCAGCGTCGTCTCTAACATAAAAACATTCGTTTCGCTGCAGATGTGTGATGTCTAATCTCCCAGGGCAGACCAAGATTCTTGTAATCCCTTAAAAGAAGTCGGACGTTCCATAGTATGCATAGTAGCAGTTATTATCTTCTCCTGCCACGAGTCTCTTCGAGATGGCTGTAGCGGTAGATCAATGTCACGGATTCAAGCCATTTGCTCGACCGCCGAGGTACAAACTCCAGTCATTCAGTCAGGTCGATTACCAAGCGCTAGACTTCGGTCCTATAGGCATCGCAGAGTCTCTGGAACACGCTTTCGAGTTTTCTAACGTTCACAAGAGCTTCTCCACTCCATGCCTGTTGTCGTACTCTTCTCATCAGCTGAAAGACGACGCGCATCCGAGGATCGAAATCATTTCCGGCCGTAACGAGCCGAGAATCCGCGCTCTAGCTGCCGAAGTCGCCATGGCTCTGGCCTCTCGTGTCAATCCTGAACCGATATCGAAAGGCCTCGGCGGCGCGTACCTTTTCCGCGCCTGTAATGGTGACACCATTGCCGTCGCGAAGCCCACAGACGAGGAACCTCTGGCCTTCAACAACCCTAAAGGACTAGTCGGGAGGAAGTTGGGACAACCCGGGATGAAATGCTCGATCAAGATTGGTGAAACCGGCGCGCGCGAATCGGCTGCTTATTTCCTTGACCACGATGGCTTTTCTGGCGTACCTCCGACAGGTTTGGTTACGTTCTCGCATGTCAAGTTCAATTCGAATGGCGCGGGATTGGATTCGACGCCGGCTGCTCATCTGAAGATCGCTTCGCTTCAGCGTTTCGTCGATCACGACTCCGATGCCGGAGATCTGGGTCCTTCGAGCTTCTCCGTCGCCTCCGTTCATCGTATCGGAGTATTGGACATTAGACTGATGAATCTCGACAGGCATGCCGGAAACATTCTTGTGAAGCTGAGAAACGACGGGTATGCTCGGGGAACCGCCGAGCTCGTGCCTATCGATCACGGATTTTGCTTGCCGGAATATCTCGACGACCCTTATTTCGAGTGGCTACACTGGCCGCAGGCTTCAATACCTTTTTCGGAGACGGACGCGAACTACATTTCGTCGCTCGACCCGTACAACGACGCGGAGATTCTGCGAACGAAGCTTCCGTCGCTGCGGGAGTCGTCCATTCGAGTTCTCGTCGTCTGCACGATTTTTCTGAAACGAGCAACGGCTTACGGGCTGTGCCTCGCCGATATCGGGATGATGATGACCCGCGAGCTCCACGGCGGGAACGAAAGCTTGAGCGTGTTGGAGAACATATGCGTCAAAGCAAAAGCGAGCATGATCATCGACAAAAAAATGTTCGAGTTCGCCGGCGAATGCAACGTCGACGTCGATCCGCTGTTCGACTCGATCCCCGGAGGCTTTCACGACTCGCCGACGAAAGGTAAGCCGTCGAAGATCCCTCGAATTTCTCCCGCGGCTGCGACGGATGAGTCGGGCTCGGGCAAGCGCAACGGCGAGCTATACCATTTCGACGATCACGCTTTCAACAAGCTGCTCGACAGCCGAGACAGCGGCGGGAAAGATTACGCGAATCCGAAGGCGGGTAGCTTGGCGAAGAGCCAAAGCTTCGCGGCCCCGAACCACAACCGCGAGGGGCAATGCATCACGATATCGTTCGGGGAAATGAACGACGGGGAATGGCGACTGTTTTTAGAATATTTCGAAACGCTTCTTCCGGGGGCGTTTGAGGAGAAGAAGTTCACGGGGTTGTCGATGAAGCAGCACGCATCGAGATCTTCTTGCGTATTTTGACATGCGAGTCAAAACCGAAACCGAAGTCGAAATCGAAATCGGAATTGAAGTCAAATAATTATTATAGAAGACTTTGCATATAGATTATAGAGAAAAACAAAAGCTATATATAGAATGGGAGGTGGAAATGTAGATAGACAAGGCAAAGGGAAGACAAGAAGACATCGTTAGTCTTGTCTTGTTGGTAGCCTTCGTAGGTCGATCCTACCCATGATAGCTCCACTTTATAAACATACATATGCATATATAAATATATATATATATCACTAATTGTACACTATGATAGAAATTTTATTTTCTTATATTTTTACTTTTTTCACAATAAAAAATAATTTATATCAACCAGTTATATAATTATGATTTTTTGTTGTTGTTGTTGTTGTTAGAACCCGCAATTTTACAATGGTATATAAATTATGTTGTGGCAGATAAGTTACTTGTTCCGGGTTTTGAACATGCAAGGATCTTTTTGGTTCCTTGGCAGTATGTTAAGTACAACAATTATTAGGAAATAATCGAGTTAGAGACTGTTGTGAAAAACAGGTTATCTTCACACAAACGATGAAATACCGTAACTAATTAATATCGAAGAAAATTCTCAGGTAATTGAAGAAGACAGACTCATGCAAACCCATTTTCTTTAGACTTCTTATAGTTTTTTTGACAAAATTTTTCCGGCAAAAATTAAAACATAATAAATAACCGCAAAATAATAAAAAACTAGAGCAAATAAATGAACAGTATATTTAATGAGGTTCGACAAAGGAATGCCTACGTCTTCGGACTCTAACAAAAATTATATTAAAAGAGGATATAACAAATACAACACAATTATAATATAAATTGTATTATGGGATGCTTTTCTACCATAGTGAGGGATCAATTTATAAAATTGAATTTCACCCCACCCAATCTCCCAAACAATGTTCGATGAAGGAGAAGCCAATAATTATTGACTTTTTCTACGAATCTCCACCTTTGGTGGTCTCCAAATCCCATCTAAAGTAACTTCTCCAAATTTCTCTCATCATAAAATACACCCAATCTCCCAAACAATGTTGGATGAAGGAGAAGCCAATAATTATTGACTTTTTCTACGAATCTCCACCTTTGGTGGTCTCCAAATCCCATCTAAAGTAACTTCTCCAAATTTCTCTCATCATAAAATATGATAGGATTTCCAAATGCGTTTTTCAGCGCCAATTTCAAACCCTTAGAACATTTATGTAGTTCAACAATGTTCAAACTTGATACATGTTACATTCTTTGTCAACATATCTGCAGGATTCTTAGTGACCTTAATCTTTTGCACTCTGACTCCACATTGTTCAATTATTTCCCGCACAAAATGGTATCGTAAATCAATATATTTTGTTCTAGCATGATACACTTGGTTCTTTGTTAAGTGAATAGCACTTTGGCTGTCACAAAACACCGTAACGTGTTTTTGACGGACTCTCAAGTCATCTAGTAATCCCTGTAATCAGATTGCTTCCTTATCGGTCTCAGTTATGGCCGTGTATTTTGCCTCTGTTGTTGACAGAGCAACGGTAGATTGTAAGGTCGACTTCCAACTAACTGGTGCACTTCCAACTAACTGGTGCATTTGAAAGAGTGAACACATAACTAGAGTTGATCGCTGTTTATCCAAATCTTCTGCATAGTCTGAATCGTAGTACCCAATTATATGTTCACAAATATCATTATTTCTTTGAAACATCAATCCAAAATCTAAGTTGTGTTCTTTTGTGGGTTTTACCATAAATTTTACTCCCTCCGTCCCAAACACCCTGCAATATTTTCTTTTTTGTTTGTCTTAAACTCACTGCAAAATTTTCAAATTTAGAAATAATTATTAATATTTATATACATATATTAATATACACTTCACTTTATCCCATCATATCATTCAAATAAAAAAATAATAAGCATTTCTCTCTCCAATCACATCACTTAATATCCAAATTATCTCAAATTACCATACTTAATACTCCCCACCTAAATTCCCGTGCCAAATACAAATATTGCATGGTGTTTGAGACAGAGAGAGTACTATTTAGATTCTTTATTCCCTCAAAAAATATCAAATCAAACAATTACTTTTCTTTTTTTATATTATACTACAAATTTATTTTACATTCAAAATATCACATCAAAATCTATTTATATCACATCAAACAACTATTTATATTCAACATTTTACTATTCATAAATCCAAACCCCAAACCCACAAACAAACACACCCAAGTTTTCAAGATATATCTTAGAATCTATTTCACGGCTTTCCAGTGTTCTTTGTTTGGATCATGCAGATACCTATTCACTATCCCAACTACATGTGAAATCTCAGGCCTCGTACACACCATCACATATATCAAGCTACCAACCAATTTGAATAAGGACTATTTGACACGTAATCATGTTCCTCTTTCGGACACTGTGAAGCGGTAAGTTTAAAATGAGAAACAAGTGGTGTACTAACATATTTGGTTTTGTCAGTCATACCAAATCGCTGTAGTACTTTATTCAAATATTTCTTCTAGGTCAAGCACAATGTGCCTCTCTTTCCGTCTCCCATTATTTTCATGCCGAGAATCTTCTTCGCTTCACCGGGATCTTTTCTTTCATACTCCTTGCTGAGTTGAGACTTCAACTTGCTTATCTCTATTTTATTGTTCGACGCAATTAACATGTCATCTACATAGAGAAGAAGATAAATAAACGATCCATCAGATAGCTTACAAAAATACACACAATGATCGAAACTGCTCTTGGTGTACTTCGACTGATCATGAATTGATCAAATCGTCTGTACCACTAACTTGAAGATTATTTCAATTCATATAATGATTTGCTCAACTTATATACTCAATCTTCTTTGCCAGTAACTTTAAATCATTCGGGTTGAATCATGTAGATTTCCTCATTCAAATCACTGTGTAAAAATATTGTCTTTACATCCATTCGAACTAGTTCCAAATTGTACTGCGTTACCAATGCTAATAAAATACGAATAGAGGAATGTTTTACAAAATGAGAAAATACCTCGTTGTAATAAATTATTTCCTTTTGAGCGTAGCCTTTGGCTACCAATCTTGCATGTAATGGACATCATTTTTTAGTATAAACCCATTTGCAACCAATTGCTTTCTTTTCCTTTGGCAATTCAATTAGCTTCCATGTGTGATTTGTTTTAAGAAACCGTATTTCCTCATCCATGATTTTCTTCCGCTTTTATTTTTCTGGACTATTTTTTGCATTAAGAAAAATTTTTGGTATACCTTATTCAGTAACAGGAAGTGTGTACGCCACTGTACTTTGAAATCAAACATGTTTTTGAATTTCTCTTCTTGACCTCCTGACTGCAATTGATAAATTTTGTTTTTGTTGAGGTTCTTGGGTTAAAATTTCCATTTCTTGGGCTCTCTAACACAGGGATCACCATCTTCTGTTGGTTGAACACTACTGGTTTGGTCATAGGTGCCTAAAACTTCACATATTCTGAAGAACTCTCCACTTGCGGGGATATACCATCCATCTGTTGTTCGGTTGCTGTATTCAACATTGTTGATTTTTGAAGGTAACTTCCTTACTAACGATCGCCTTTCTCATCTCTGGGCACCATAGACGATATCTTTTTACACCAGATGATATCCCACTTAGATAACGTTTCTAGCCCTTGGATCAAGCTTTAATTCTTTTAAATAATAATATGCAATGGATCCAAATACACGTAAATAATCATAATTATTAAAAGGTTTGCTAAGCTATACCTCTAAAGGTGTCCTGCCTTTAAGCCCAGATGATGGTAGTCGATTGATGAGATGACTTGCATATGTTACCTTTTCAACCCAAAATTGTTTGCCAAAATTAGCATTGGATATTATACACCAAACTTTCTCCAGCAAGGTTCGGTTCATGCGCTCGGTCACCCCATTTTGTTATAGTGTGTGCCGTACTGTGAAATATCGAGAGATGCCTTCATTCTTGAAAATATCGAAAAAGGTCATATCGATATTCTACATCATTGTCATATTAAAGCAATTTAATCTTTCTCCCAATTTGGTTCTCCATTATTTCTTCCAATTGAAAAAATTTGCTGAAAGCTTCGTTTTTAGTTCGCATGAGATATATCCGTATTCTCCTCGAAAAATTATCAACAAATGGTATAAAATAATGGTTTCCTTCTACAGAAGCTGTCTTGGTTGGTCCCTACACGTTTGAGTGAATGTAATCCATAATGCTTTTAGTGTTATGGATTACTGTTCCAAACTTCACCCGCATTTTCTTTCCTAGAACACAGTGCTTGCAAAACTCAAGTTTGCATGTCTTTGCACTATTTAATAATCCTTGCTTTACTAAAGTTTGCAATGATTTTTCTTCAGTATGTCCAAGCCTCATGTGCCAAAGTTTGGTCATCTCATATTCTTTATCTATTTCTAATACTACTGCTGCTACGGTAACTACTGTATTGCCGTGAAAGTGATACAAGTTATTTTTCTTTATAACTTTTATCACGACAAGTGCTTCTGAGATTACTTTTAGAATTTCGTTCTGAATGCTGATATAATGACCTTTATATTCCAAGACTTCCACTAATATGAGATTTTTGGCAAATTTCGGTATGTACCAAACCTCTGTCAGCACTTTGATTGTTCCATCGTAGTTTTTCCAATAGACTGATCCAAATCCAACTATTTGATAAGGTTGGTTGTCAGCGATGTAGGCAACACCATCAAATTTTTCAAAGTTGACAGACCACTCATTCCTAGAACACATGTGGAATGAGCATCTTGAGTCAACAACCAATCGTTAATGCAGGTCACCGATGATGCATATGCTAATGAATAGTTTGTTTCATCCAGTGCCCTTTCTCGTGGCAAAAGATATATTCCTCTTTTGCTACTCTGCCTCTTGACTGGGATCAACCTCTTCTTGCCGGCTTGTATATTTGGTTACGACCTCGAACATAGTGCGCTTCACCAATCAAATTCCTGTGTTCTATTTTATCTTTCTTTCTAATCTCGTTATAATACAAAGAAATAATAACTTTCTTAAAAGAAATTGTTTCTTTCCCGGTTAGCATACTACATTTATATGTTCATATTCATTAAGAAGTAAATATAGCAGTATCAATGCCTTATCAATATCATTTATCTTCCCATCCATTTATGTGTTCGTTCATGGTGGTAACTGATAAATATTGGAAGCGATACAACTTCGTCTTCATGTAGAGCTTGTTTTTTATGCTATTTTTCATAAATTTTCCTCTAGTTCTTTCCATAATTTGTATGCCATAGTCTCTCTTATGATGAATGTTTCTGCTCATAGGAGAGACATAGTTGAATCGTACCACAACCAAATGGTTAATCCTTCTCTAGTCTTTATCATCAATATCCTCCAGTTTGTTTTCTTCGATTGCTCCATCTAGCTTTTGTTGGAACAAAATGTCCACCACCTCGCATTGTCACGTACCAAAATTATTAGTACTTTCGAATTTTTCAATGTCAAATTTGGTATTTTCGACCATTGTTCTTGATGACGATGTCACCAAAGGCTTCGAATTTGAAGTTGATTTTTCACTGAAATTTTCCGCCATTCCTACTTTAGATATTGATTAAAAAAACATACGTATAAAACAAAGACAACTTAACCAAGATGCTTTTCTGATGTGGAAGATCAGATTAAGTGCGACTGCAGAGCAAAAATTTAAAACCCAATTTCCTTAGACCTTTTATAGTCTCTGATGCCAATTTTTGAGAAAAAACAAAATTAGCCCCACACAAACGGAGAAATACCGTACTCAATGAATACTGAAGAAAATTCTCAGATAATTGGAGGAGACACGAGACTCACTAAAAACCCAATATCCTTAGACCTTTTATAGTCTTTTGGACAGAATTTTCTTGGGAAAATTAAAACAGAATAAATAACCGCAAAATAACCAAAATACAGGTTTGTTCGTTTTGATTTTTTTCCTTACACATTTTTCAAAAATATTAATATATTATACACATTCATTATTTTTTTATACTTACTCACATAAAAAATACTTCTTCAAACTATTTTTACAAAACAAACACATCCTTAGAACAAATAAAAGAACATCAAATTTAATGAGGTTCGACAAAATAATGCCTATGTCTTCGAATCCCAACCAACATTATATTAAGAGAAGAGATAAGAACTACAACACAGTTAAATTATGAAGATTGTCTTGTGAGATGATTTTATATAATGAATGAGCGATCAATTTATAGAATTGAATTTAAACAAAAAAAAAAAAAAAAAAAACTCACACTTTGCTCACTCTCTTGGACTAACATAAAAAACTAGCTAAAAGTGTAATTTTGCCCTAATTATTCTAAAGAATTTTTTAAAATTTTCAAAGAAATAATTTTTTTTAATTTAATTTTAAATTAAAATCAATACTATTTACTGTATACAATTTTTAATAAAAATACACTATTTTATCTTAAAACCATCATACCAAAAATACTATTTAAACAAAAAAAATTCAAATAACATTCCATTTCAAATTTAATCTAAAACATAATCAAACAAATCAAAATGTTGCAAAATTTGCTAAAGTACATTATTAGCATTATTATTATTACAATTCACTGAAATAGTTCGTGACCAAGCTCATGTGAAGGAAAATTAATATAGAAATTTGCAAGTAACATGGAGGTAATAATATATATATATATATATATTTTCAAACTCATAAAATTCAACAAAATTGAATATGAAACTTCACATAAAAAAAATAAAATAAAATAAAATAATTCTCACCATATTATACGAAGAATCCTTTTCAACAGATTACTTTTGTAAAACCTCAAAATTCTCTCGTATAGTTTACAAATCGTATAAGACATATAATCTTTTATCAGGTTAAATTTAATTGAGAAAATATTTCACACGTTAGGACCAAAGGGATTTTAGTCAAGTAATTAATTAAAATGTGCTTTCTTAGTTGCAATCTTAGGGTGCCAAATATCACTACAAAAAATTATCAATTTTGTAACGAATTTTTTTCGTTCCTAAATTGACTTTTTTCCGTTACTAATGGTATTAGAGACGGAATTAGAGATGAAATTACATTAGCTACGTAAACTTTAGGAACGAAATTCCGTTACAAATACACTATTTTTTTTGTAGTGTATATTCTTCACCAAAATTTGATATATAGGTATGTGTAGTGTTTAACTAAACAAATACATATAAAGTCTCATACAATTTATTTATTAGGAAAGATAATTATCATTTTTAAATAAACTACTCGAGGTAAACTAAAATTCACCCTTATGTTTTGTAATTACTAATTTTTTTGCTTTTAGAAATTTTCGTTTCCACAAATTAAATTTCTAAAAACTTATGTTACATTTAAGATTTTAGTATGATTGTGAGATGATCGAAATTTTATATCAGCTTTATTATCCAAGTTTCTTTTAAGTGGATGTTTATTTTAAGTTATTACCTTAGGGGGACTATAAGAATAGGAGAATATGTCATTATATTATGTAGTAGTAAGATTTTGATTTGTTCACTTTGTATTTTTGGATAAATATGATTTTTATATTAGTTATGAAGTATCAGTAATATAAAAAATAATAATTTGTATTGAATTGTTGAATTTTTTGTGAGTAAATAAAATATAGATACTATAATATGTGAATATATCATTTATTTAAAAATAATTTATGCAAAATGATGTTTAAAAATATTTTGTTCTTGTGTAAAGAAAAATAATCGAATTTAAAGAAAAGTTTGCTAATATATATGATCAATGTAACTATATATGATCTTTCAGCATATAATAATAAATATCGCACATCTTTTTCGATGTTTTGGATGCCGATTGAATGAAAGCAAAAGTCAATTATTTCGATTGTCTTACTTATAATCATAGCTATATTGATCGAATTAATGGCGATGACTATTTTGAGTATAGTAGATCTTGGATGATAAACATTCGATCTTAAGTACTTATACTCCTTCCTTCTCTCTATATATATACTTATCAATAAATTTAAAAAAGTTTACAAATGCTACAAATGCCTCGAGATGATATCGATAAGAATTTATTATAACAAATATATATTCTAAAAATTTTGAGTTTCCTTATGTTTTTAAGTTTCTTATATTTTAATGTTGCATTCTTAAAGTAAAACTAGCCATTACATATAATATTTTAAATGTAAACTAAATTTTAATTTATATATATATTTATATATCGATAAAAAATGGTTGAATTTGAATAATGTGATAATAAGGTTAAAATATTATATAAAGTAATACTAAAAAGAAAAAAAAATCAATTCTTTAGATAATTATATAGTAAAAGTCTTGCTAAGTATGTATTGAATGTAACAGGGCATTGTAATCTCATTTTTAATTTTCTTTTACCGGAAATATTTAATCCCAAATTCAAATTAATTATTTTTTTCCATACATTCAAAGAGATAATCAAGTAATTTGTAAAGGATAATAATAGTATCTACTGTAAAGGCATTAGAATTAATTTTTCAATGATTTTTTAAAAAAATTATTAAAAATTACGCGGGAATAGTTTTTAATTGTCAACTAAATTTCAGTATTTATTTATTTATTTTTTAAAAATCTTAATTATAGCAAGTCATCCATTACCTTTGGACTTAATTCGAAGTGATAAGTCTCGATTAATAATCCCACACACATATATAATAAAAATACGCGGAGGGGACAACAACGATGACAAATAAATACAATTTCAAATGTTAATTAACTTACTTAATATTACTTTTAGAAAATAAAAAGTAATTAGATAATATAATTTCGGAAATGTAATGTAATTTAATATTTTTTCTTTATACGGAAAATATGAGATTAGACAGATGAGATATGTGATTCTATTCAAAATATTTATATATGACGATTTTAGTAGCTGAGATAGTCGTTATTAATTTTCTATTTTGGCCAGCCACAATTGGATTTGCATATATTACCGGACCTATATTGACTCCCCAAAAGCCCTTTTTTTCCCCTATATATACAAGGGTTTAATCTTCCTTTAACACCACTTCAAAACCTTGTTTGTAAATCTATTCCTACCCATGGAGCATCCACCATCACCACCACACCTAAACCCTAACGCTTTTGAGGTCCACGGCGAGGCTGAGGCTCAGGCCGAGGGTGTTGAACAAGAATATGATTGCAGATATTGTCAAAAGAAATTCAGTAACAAGCAAGCTTTGGGAGGGCACCAAAATGCCCACAGGCATGAAAGGGCTATAGAGAAAAATATTCGGAATCTTCCAGAAGCCCATTTTGGTTACTTTTCCGGGGCCGGGCTTATGTATGGTGGGATGGGGCAAGTCATGCCGTTCTTGGGTGCTCACAATAGACCCCAAGCTTATCTCAATCAACCCGTTTACAATAGGCCCTTTCAGGCACCACAAAGGCCTTTGCAACAACCTGGAATCCATTTTAGGGTTAATCCTCGCCCGGAAATGCAGCCACTACCTCCACGGGTGGCGCCACCGCCTCCTCCTGTACTGCCACCAGTTAGTAATTTCTTTTCAAGAACAAGCCCTATCGAGAGGAATGCTGTTCCGTTTATGAGACCGGATTCTTCTTCTGCTGTTGGAAATCAGATTGCCATGAATCGTCAGGCTTTTGGCCATGGATCTGACGGAAGCGCTAGGGTTTGTCAGCGCCGCGAGTTTTCTGCAGCTGCACAAGGGAATGATGCTGCGAATACCGCAGAGTCTGAAGATTCCGGCCTGGATTTGACTCTTAAGCTAGGAATTTGATTGACTTATGGTATCTTTGTGGTTGTAATATCGAAAAGTCTTATGATATGATTGCCTTAATTTAGATTGAATCCATGTTATTTCTATTTTCTAAATTGTACTTTTTGTGGTTTGTTTTGAGTTTTCAATTAAAATGGGTTTACATAAAATGTTGGATTTGCTCTCTTTAATTTGCCCCCATTTTTTTTTTTTTTTTTTAAACAATGTTGCAGTTTTTCTTTTTTTCTATGAAATATTTTATTCAAAACATATTTTTTATACTAATCAATTAGGAAAGATCCATATAAACACATTCAACATCGATTTTCCATTCAAATCAATTGCAAAGGGTTCACATAATTAATTGTTGGATTTATTCTCTTTGATTTTTTTTTTTTTTTTTTTTTTTTTCGGAGTTAGCTTTGTTATTTAAAAGTTTTTCTCCATAAATATTACTTTCAACACCTATTTTTTCGTACAAATTAATTAGAAAGGATTTACATAAATTATTGGGGTTTTCCTTTTTTTTTTTTGTTTTTTTTTTTGGGTATTACACAAAATTCCAATATTGGAAAAATAAAATAGAAAAAAAATTCAAAGGGTTTCCTACAAGGGTTTCTTTTTTTTCTTTTTTTTTTTTTTCCCTACAATAAAAGGGTAACAACTCTTCCATCTTACAGTGTTTCCTTTAATTAATAAGGATCACAAAATAACATGAATTGCAATCATACATAAAAAAAAAAAATAAAATAATAGGCATACATTTGATGTTGATAAATTAATAACGAAAAAAAATTGTACATATAATCATAACAATATCGAAAATATCCATAGAAAATCTCGTAGTAAATACATTTGATTTTGAATAGGAATGAATTTAAAGTGTTCATCAAGGAAACACACATAAAGTGATGAATAAGTTTAGTATATCTGTATTTGACATTTACTATAATTCTTTAATTTACTTACTTATTAATAATGTACATCAACGATAATTTTTTTTTTTTTTCTATAATTGTAGGTATGTTGAATTTTTATTCACTCTTTATAATTACATTTTTATTTTTATTATTTATTTAAATAAATACATTATAATTGTTTGGTTTTAATTTGAGTTTGAATATTTTATTTGAATTTGAATTTAAATAATATTTTAACGTATTATTTTGTAAGAATAGACAGTAAATATTGAAAATCTGCCATGAATAATGGTAAAATTGGTTTGAAATCATGACCAAAGGCATTAGTTTTTTTTTTTTTTTTTTTTGGTATAAATTACTTTAATAGGTTTGTTTATTTAGTGTTTTTATTTGATTTTTTTTTTTTTTTTTTTTTTATGTGATATATAGAGGATTGTTTTGTAATATAAACCAAAACATTGATTGACAACAAAAAAGAATAGCGGAAAAATTAAACTACACAAAACTGAAAAGGAAAGACTAAAATTGAACTATCAAAGGCGAAACAAATACGAGAATTGTTTGACACTAGCCATGGATGTTCTTGTTGGATTTTTAATCCACCAATCTCCCACTTAGGTAAATGTACACTGAATAACCTTATGAGCTTATGAAAATTTTGCACTTGCATAAACATAATTCTGATTATAAATCAGCAATAAAAATAAACGCACATGGATGTGTGTCTTTGCATGCATATGATATCAATATACCAACATGTACATTAATTGAGTTAGAAAAATAAATTCATACATGTCTGACTATGAGAAGAACAAATGATAGAATCGTGTTTGACATTACTTATTATCCGTATATGATTATTGCAACAAGATGACAACTAGCAATCAATGTGATCAAAAGATTGATCATTGATGTTGTACTTAGTGTCTTGGGATGATAATGCATTATTTTTGAACTTCATTGTGCTTCATAAACATTTATATATGTATATGTCGGTCCCAATATGGTATGGGAACAAATTTAAGCACCGAAAAGAATCAATATTGGTTCATTTGGACTATATGAATCTTGACTTGGCATTAAGGGTAGACTAACCTACTTATACGGTGAAAAACACTGCAGATAAAAAACAATTACTTGAGAAGTGAGATAGGTCCACGCATAAGTTTGATGATTATTAAGAAAAACACTCCATACATTTTTCGTAGTACGATATCTGATGATGTAACGGCAAATACAACATAAGGGAGTACATCTTGAATATGTCTAATATTGCTTCTAAATTGAGGACACTTAAGTTAGACATTTCGGAGGACATGTTTGTCCTATTGGTCTTGCTCTTGAAATTAATTTAATTTCAGGTATTAGACACACCTGGGGTTGGATTTTAGTGTAACAACACACATCAGTGTGTCTATGCAAGATTATTTTATTGTCGAAAATCAATAGATGTTGAAAGATACATCTATATGGGTGACAACAAGAAAGTTCAAGTTAAAGTCATTGACAATTTGAGATTATTATTAAGTACTAGTTACTATCTGAATTTGGATGATATATTTTTTATGGTACTATTTTTCGTCGACATTTAATTTCGATCTATATTTTGAACAAATTTAGTTATTGTTATTCATTCGAAATAAAGTTTTTTTTTTCTTTTCCAGAATTCGAAATTAGTTGAAACTAGTGCATTATTTGATGATAATAATCGTCATTTGCTTAATAGTCTTGCTTCATATCATAAATTAGTTATTGAACATATTCGTATAGCTTCCATAATTGTGGATCCGCTTAATTGCTAAAGAGTTTTCACATAAGTTCTATAATGAGCATGTTGCTCGTTTGAAAGTGGAACCATATTAGTTTTGAGTAATGATCAATATTAATTTTGAATTCAGTATTCAGTTGTTCTGAATTAAAGTTCAGGTGAATCAGTTGGAAATAAACATATTAAAATCATATTACATGAAATTTTCATGCTGTGCATTCGCACTTGATTGAATCTTAGGTTATATTAGTGTTGTGACCACTGATCGGTCCCATTACGATAAATGCAGTGACGGCCACTTTGATCCACATTGATCTAATTTATAGATAAGATTGGTAAATTACATTAAAGAATCTGATAGCAAAATATTCATGAGATCAAAAGGTTATTCAATGTACATTTACCCAAGTGGAAGATTGTTGGATTAAAAATCCAATTGCGGGTTAAATGTAACTATTTGGACTATCAATCGGGTTAAATCTATATTAAGTAATCTATTAAATTTTATTGGGTTTAAATGTATTTAGTAAGTGCAAGCCTCCTATGTGCATAAATCCGGTAACTTATTAATTGGGTGATGATGACAATTAATAATAACGGATATAAATTAGGGTTGTGATCCCAGGTCTAGACGCTATCTATTACTTCTCATATCTCATTGTGAGAGTAAGGGTAGAAACTCTGATGGTTTTCTCGGGAAGGGTTGCGCTATAGGCTTGAAGAACACAATACCCTTGATTAATTTGCAGATCCGAATTCGACTATACTAAAGAATAAGGTTATATTTATTTTTATCTAAATTATTTCAACACGAAAGATCCTGAGTTTAAGGTTAAATTCCTGATATGTTCCAACAGTTCCACGAGTCAGGAGCCAAAGAACCATATTATAGAATAGGTGACAAGAGGTTGAAGAGCAAGTCGCATAAATAATCGACGGATGAGGGTTTTTAGAGAGTGAAATATCAAAGGTGACAATGAGTGTGTCTTATGAATGTTAGAACTTATTAGGAATTAAACCTTAAGCTAAGATCTACCATGTCAAATAATTGAAACACTAAAATATCGGTACAACTTTCATGATTATGACAATAGGGAACCAGCAACACTCTTGGTTCCCACCATTCTTAATTCCATTCCATTCCATTCTCTGGTTTTCATCGATTTATCCAATTTAATTGGGCTGCTTCTAGTTTGGGCCTCTTGTTTGGTTGAGCTTAAGTCAATTGGACTGTAGTTATCCATATTTGATTGGATTATCTGTAGACAACATCAACCAATACAAAAAAAAACTACAACATCAACATTTATGGATTTTATTCAAGCAATATAACAAATGAGAATAATCACACTCAAACAAACACACATAATTTCAATATGAGAATACTCAAATATAAGAAAAAGCTAAAATGTGAATTGATATTCTTGATAGTTGGGATTTATCGAATAAACCTCGTAAAAAAATATACTATTTAATTAGCGGAAGTAATAATAGAATAAAACTCAATATTGATTAAAATTAAAAGTAATACTTATTATTAGGCTATAACATAATATGGAATTTGAAAATTAAAACCAAAACAAATAAGGTTAAACAAAGAATGAAATGAGGCAATATAATTAAAATTTATGTTCAAACATTCAGCCGCTAGATGCAATTTGCAATTCATCCACGAAATTGATTGGTGGCGACTTTGAAGGACTATTTAGTGGCGAACTCCGAGAAACAACATACCCTTGCAGACAACAGTGTATTTCATTCTAACAAACCCGATAGACAGAAACCTCTGACGATGTTACAAATGAAGTCGATTTTAGGCTGCGAACAACTCCTGACGGATTCCAGTCATAATTTCTCCGGTAACGGTAGAGGGCAGCTCGTTATTCTCCGGGCATCGTCGAAAGCTCCGAATAGCTCCCAAAAAGAAACGATTGACGACAAACATAACCATCGGTGGATAGTGTCGATCTGCTCGATTGTCCTCAAACTTTCTTTATTGGTGAAAAGACTTTGAAGTAAGGGTCAGTCCAGGTGCGAAATGGTCCGAGGTAACCATACCTTAAGGTGGAGGTCAGTGCAACACTTTAAGCCTTGACACCCACCGGAATCGGCACAAAATAGGATTCCTAAATCTCACTGGAATACTCACCCTCATAACCTCACGAAAACACTCACTCTTGGAATCTTACCTGAACCCCATCTAGAACCTCCTCTGTCTCGCCCTCTCTGTCTATTTAAGGAATGAACTTCCTCTCTTAAAATGAGACTAATTCACTATAAGACCATTTACAACTCATTACTCTATTTCTAGAGGAACTACAGAAAAAAATACAGTTGATCACATTAATTTTATTCTAATCATAAATTTTATTTTTATTTTCTCCAAAAACATAATATATTTTTCTTTTATACTCCCTCCGTTTCACATACCATGTCCACGTTTCCGTTTCTCTCCGTTCCATATACCATATCACTTTTTTTTTTTGGAAAATGATTACACACTTTAATTTCATTTTAAAATTTTTAATTTTTTTTAAAATTTTAATTAAACTAATTAGTTATCTTAATCTTAATTTATAATTATTTATATTATAGGATAATTATTTTTACTAATACATTCTTAATTATTTACTAATTACACTCCTCCTAAAATATCGTGTTTACAGTATAACAAGACACGGTATGTGGAACGGAGGTAGTATTATTTTATGTAATTTTCATATTTATCATTTTTTCAAAAATACAATTACACATTACTTTAAAAAAATAAAATTATATCACTTTTAAAAAATAAAATTATACTCCATCCGTCCCTCCACATTTCTATTTTAGTACGTCCTATATATTATGAGATATTTTTTTTGATAAAATATTATACACTTTAAACATATTTTAAAATTACTAATCTATAATTAACACACATTCTTTCTACTCCTCCACATATTAAAATAAATATACTCATAAAAATCATTACCTACCCACCGACCCCTGTCATCTCTTTCATTCCAAAACTCTAAATCGCTCGTCATCTTCTCGTTAGTTCTCTTTGTGATTCAAAAACTCCTACTTGCTGAACACCGATGTCGTCGCTCTATCCTAAGCATAGGATGCCCATCCCTAAACCTACCATCAATCCTCGTTGCGCCAATTGTGGTTATCCCTCTTTTGTGGTTCCGGCAACCGACAAATATTCCCCTTTGGTCTAAGATCCCAGAGAAGCTGATTCAGTCCCATTTTCGGGGCGCAGTTGGGTGCGATCAAAAAAGACGGTGACTGGATGCCGGACACGGAGGAGCCCTTCGATTTGGGTTCAAATTTTGAAGTCGGTGATGAGTTCGGTAAAAGCGTCTGCAACTGCAACATCCTCAACCTCTATCAGAAATGGACGATAGGCTTGATGACGGAAGATGAAGATGTTTGGTTCGTACTTGGCTTCGTTCTTGATTTAGAGGATGAGCATGGGTCGGATACAGAGCAACCAACTTTCGATTTTGATTGCCCCTACTAATAAGTTCTTCTTAAGGAGATCTAATTCAACATCTACTCAAAGATTTATGTGATTTGAGTTTCCATTGGAGTATATTGTGGTTCATGCTTCATTTAAGCATCATTGTTTAAATTTTCATTATTTGGTCTCTGATGTCTCGTTTTGATCAATCTATTTACTCTGTTATAGCTAAGGTTGGGTTGATTTTCATTGTTATGGTTCATATAATATATGTATTCATAGAAAATATGGTTCTATTTAAAAACTCATTTTGTTAAGCACCAACTTGAGTTAAGTGTGAAAAAAAACATATTGTGTATTGCATTTTATTATACATATATAAGGTATGCTACAAAATATGCATTCACTAATTATATAGATAATAGAATCATCAAAATGTTTACACTGTAAACCTGTATTTAGTGTTTTTATAGGTTTACTAAAGCATAAACATTCAACAAATAATTTTTCAAAATATTTACCTTAACTCTAATAATCTAAATCACTCATAACTCTTTCAATTCTTTTCACCTCACATTTTTTCAATTAGATAGTGAATTCATTCATGTACTAAGTCCATGGGAACACTTAGCTCATTTGGAAGATTTCTAACCCTCCATAAATTGTCTTTTTTTCATACGTGGAAGCTTGTATGAGTTTTCTCCCTTCAATTTAATTAATTCAATCATGCAAGTTTGCAAACTTAAAAATACCTTGATCAAGTACTCTGCTGTTAATTCATTGAAGCTTGTAATGACAACATCCAGTAGGTTGTTGACATTTTTGCATGTTTTTTCTGTTTGTAAACCTTGAATTGCTTGAAAATATCTTAAATCATTTACATTCATGTAAGGAGAATTAGGGGATTGCTGAATAAGAACAATGTTGAAAACCATTGCTAGTTGATGCATAAACAAAGTTTGCATCACCCCTCTTATATGTGACTTGACATTATCTTGTTGAATGAAAATATTTTTTGAAAAAATTAGCCGGCCACTTCTCTTTAATTGCTAGGATAATATGTCATAGAACCAAGCACACACAAATCAAAGTTAAACTTGTGTACACACATATATTGAAATGCAACAATAATATTAAGAAAATAGTTGGTCTTATACTCTAAATGATAGAGTAGAAGACATTCACATTATATTATCTTAAATTTCACTACTTTTAAGTTGGAAAATAAGCTAACTTGATTAATCGAACAACTTTTAAAAATAAGCTAACTTTTGTTGCTCTTCGTGTCCATTTATCAAAAATTGATCATATTCTTTATATCAGTAGTCGATTTATATATATTCTTTGGATTTTCTATTATTCTTCTATTTTATTGATCATTTAATACATCGGGGGCACTTTCCTACATGATTTTCACTATTCAACTCACACACCCCTGGTTCTTATTGGATACTATGATGTTGATTGAGATGGTGACCCTACTGATTATTGAGTGATTACTAACTTATGTTTCCTCTTTCGTGGCTCTCTTATTTTTTAATGCAATAAAAAATAAATGGTTTACTTTTTGGAAAACACTAGATTTGAGTATCATGCTCTTACTAATATTGCTGCCAAGCTCTATGACTTTGTTGGGTGTTGAATGATCTTTGTGTGCCTCAATCTTCTGCTACTATTGTTTACGGTGATAATCAGAGTCCTATGAACCTTTCAACTAACGATTTGTTTGATGGGTGCATGAAGAATATCGAAATTGACTATCATATTGTCTATTATCCAATTTCGCAGAATAATGTTTTACAACCTCCCACAACTTGTGAAGATGAGACTATGGATAGTTTCACCAAGCTCAACCTTCTTAGCCGTTTTCAATCATTTTAAGAAACTCAAGTTATTTCCACATTCCCGCCAAGAGTATGAGGTGGGATGTTAATACATGTTGTATATATTGATTTGTACACTTATAGCCCAAGCCCAAGCCCAAGAACCATTCTTTACATATATATACTGATGTAAACCCTAATTTCAAGTTGATGATATTAGTTATTCCATAATCCAAACCCGAGAAATCAATTTCAACGGATTAATTGAGTATTGTAGATCTCAAACGATGATATGATAAGATTAGACGTAGTTAGTTCAACTCTTTTTATAATATATATTAAAATTTTAGAAATTCTATACACTTTGAGATGATATCAAACACAACTTATGTTAACAGAGATATCCTAAAAAATTTGACTTTTGTATTCCGAAGAAAACTTTTCTATTTACTAATAATACATGACATGTTCATATATTTGAAAAGACAATGGTAGATTTCATATAGCGCGAAACTAAGTTTAAAAATAAAAATAAAAAGTAATTCTTTCTATAATGTATTAGAAACTCTTGCTAGAACTGTATTGAATGCAATATGTAATTGTAATCTCATTTTTAATTATGCCATAAATTAATTACCCACTATTTAGAATTAATTATTCATTTCAAAACATTCGAACAGAAATTCAGGTAACTCTCAAGAGATAACAAGAATATCTCTTGTAAAGGAATCACAGTTAATTTCTCAACCACTTTTTTAAAATAAAGAACAAATATTAGCTGTCCATTCGTCCTTAATTGTCAAAAATTTAATAATCCCATTGCATACATAGTTTGTACACGACCCCAATGCTGGTGAACAAAAGTTATTTCAATCGTTAATTAACTTACTTATTATTATTATTTTATTAGAAAAATCATAATAATATAAATTAGTGTAATTAGATACTCTAATTTAAGAAATGTAACTTTTATTGATTTATTTTTTCTTATTCGAAAAAGTGAGAGTTGACATGTGAAATATGAGATTCTATAATAAATATTTACGAGTAACTGAGACGGTCTTTATTAATTTTCCATATTAGCTTACCCACAATTGGATTTGCATCTATCACAAGACTTTAGACTCTTCAAAGGCTCTTTTCCTATAAATACAAGGGTTTTATTATGTTGTAGCACCACTCAAATCCTATTCAGCAAACTATTCCTATCCCTATCCATGGAGCACCCCCCATCACCACCACTCCCGAACCCCAACCCTTTCGATCCAGAGAGGGTCGAAGCCGAGGCTGAGGCTGAGGCTGAGGCCGAAGGTGTTGCACGTGAATATGGCTGCAAGTACTGTGATAAGAAGTTTAGCAACAAACAAGCTTTGGGAGGGCACCAAAATGCCCACAAAGTTGAAAGAGCCATAGAAAAGAATGTCCGGGACATGTCGGCAGCCCATTTTGGCTACCTTGCCGGGCTACCATATGGTGAGACGATGGGGCCCGTTATGCCATTCCAAGGAGTTTACAATCCTCGACCCCATAATTATATCAGGCCCTTTCAGGCTCGCCAGATGCCTTTTCAGCACCCTGGTATACGCCTAGGGTTTAATCCTCGCCCGGCAATGCAGCCATTCGCCCCTAGGGCGGTGCTGCCGCCTCCACCACCACCGCCGATGGGATTCAATAACTTCTTTCCAAGGACAGGCCCAGTTGGGAGAAATGTTGTCCCTTTTATGGGACCCGGTTCTTCTTCAGGTGCTGGAAATCAGGGTTTTATGAACCGTCAGGATTTCAGCCGTGGATCCAGTAGCAGCGCTGGGGCTTCTCAGGGAAACGCCTTGGTTTTGCGTGCACCGAGGAATGATGATGCAAATCAGCCGGAGATTGAAGATTCGGGCCTGGATTTAACTCTCAAGTTATGAGTTAGGATATTGGATGATGTCGTTTGTTGAATGTTGTTTGGCATTTAGGTTTCCGTCGCTCTACTTTGTTTCGTTGTTCCATTGTTGTTTGATTATTGAATGATGTTGTTTCCATCTTTCTAAATTGTTCTTGTGGTTTGTTCCCTGAATTTTCTATTAGAAATGATTTCACATAAATTGTTGGGTACAATTGCTTTGATTTTTCTTTTTTCTATTCTTTTTTAACATTCCAATCTCATAATTTTTCTCCATAAACACCACATTCAACTATAGGTTTCACATAGATTAATTAGAAACATTCCCATAAATTATATTTTTGGGTTTGCTCTAATTGATTTATTTATTATTATTTTTCATTTATTAAAGCTTGTAATTTCACAATGTTCCTCTATAAGTATCATATTTAACACCCATTTTCTATCGGAATAAATTAAAAGGTGGTTCACATAAATAGTTGCATTTGTTCTCTTTCATTTTCTTGCTCAAAATTCTAATTTTGTAATCACACAAAATTTCTTCATAAATAATACATTACACCTATTTACCATATAAATCAATTAGAAATAACTCACAAGAATTATTGGTTTTTTCTCTTTATTTATTTTTTCCAAATTTTTTATTCATAATTATCTCCCATAAACATCACATTTTCAACACTTTCATACAAATCATCGCATCAAACAAACTATTTTATTAAAAAAAAATTAAAAAAACCCAAAACATGCACACACACAAGAAAATGAAAGAAAATAACAACAAACAAACACACCCTTTATGAATTTATACAAGAAATATAACAAATAAGAATAATTGCAATGAAACAAACACACACACAACATCAATATTGGATCCGACAAGTCCTAATGGCCTGGTGGTGTAGGGGTTGGACTTGTGACCGTGATATATTATAGGGTAAAGAATAAGACAGACTAATATTTTAATTTTGCTATACACCTTTAAATGGAAGTAAGGAAGGAGTACAACACTATACAAGTGTATAACTGAAAATCTAAAAAATATATATATATTTTTAGGTCAATATTTTTAAAATTTGTCAATGGTCATGTAGTATTTTCAAAGTTCATAATAAACTGTCAATAGTACCCAACTAAGCCAAAAAAATTGTATATTTGCCACGCTATCCAAGGTCTTCCAATTTTTTATGGTCTCAACCTTTAAAACATCCATGCCAACTCCTTCGACTAAGATTACATGACTAAAGAAATGAACTTTCTCATTCTAGAACTCACCCTTAAACAATTTTGCATATAGTTTCCTTTCTCTTAGGATAGATCAAATTTGTCACAAGTGTTGCTCATGTGTACTTGCATTAATAGAAAAATTTAGCATGGCATTAGTAAATATTATAACACATACATCAAATAATTGGCTCAAAGTAAGCTACACAAGATCCATGAATACAATGCGTATATTCGTAAGCCAGCATCATAGTAAATTCATGATGACCTTATCTTGCCTTGAATATTGTCTTGGTGATATCCTTTCATCGAATTGTATTTGACAATATCTTGATCGAAGGTCAATATTTGATATGAATTTAGCCCCTTTTAACTAGTCCAATGAGTCCTCAATTCAGGGTAATGGATATTTATTCCTGACCATCAGTTGGTTCATAGCATTAAAATAGATGCACAACCTCATGCAACTGTCTTCTTTCATACAAATAACACTGGTGTTCTCTAGGGAGAAATTCTTGTTCAAATGTAGCCCTTCTCTAACAATTCATCTAATTGGTTGATTTTTCATAATCTTATTTAGTTAGGTTCTTTTGAATCTTGTTGGTTGATAGTTTGGAATGGATTGTCCATTTATCCGGGGATCTTTTGCAGTTAGAGTTTGATTATTGTAAGTGAGTGTATAGTTATTTGATAACCTATGATTGTGGTTATCTTTGATTGTAAAAAATTGATTAATATACTGAAATTTTGCTAAGGTCGGGTCATAGACCTCATAGTTTTTATCCTTTACATTGAAGTTGTTTTTCACATATAAATTCTCAGTGTCATATTTTATTATTACGGTAGTTTATTATTTTTGTGCATCTTTTATTCATTGGTGAAAGAAATAATTTATTTTGGTGAAAAGAGCTTAGTGGAACGGTGTACAACAGGTTGCTTAGGTGTGAATACATACATAGACTTCAACTATACTATCAATTAGGCTTGACACACAAGCATTGCATCGTTAATTTCTTTTTTGTTTTTTGTTTTTTTTTGTTTTTCCTCTTGGAGTGAACACATATAAGGTTTATCACATAAACTAAAAAGTTTCCCTTCATCAAGTTTTTATAAACATAAAGTGGTATCAGAGCTTAGAAAATAGATAGATCTACAAGGTGAAACATGAAGAACACTTGTCATCTTTTGATACAAAGCCCGATTAGTTATGGAAGGTTTTAGTCAGAAGAATGGTATCAATTTTGAGGAGATTTTTTCACCGGTCATGAAAATGACTTATATTCATGTCATTATGAGTTTGGATACTTGTCTTGATCATGAAGATGAGCAAATGAATGTCGAAACTGCATTTTCTCATAGTGATCTTGAAGATGAAATTTAATTAGAACAGTTTGGTTTGGTGGTAAGGCAGTGAAATATAAGGAGAACTATATGTGCCAATTGAAAAAGAATATGTATAAGCTTAAACAAGCTACCAAGTATTGATATAAGAAATTTCAATTTATTTTGATTAAACCAGAGCACAAGAAGACGGATGTTGTATATTGTACAAAGGTTTTCAAGTAATGATGTCACCATCCTACCTTTTATGTAGATGGTATGCTAATGGTAGGTTCTTTTGCCTGAAGAATTTTTAATCTAAAGAAAGAGTTGCTATATGAAGGATTTGGGTAGTTAGAAGTATTATTTAAATGAAGATTTCTTGTAATGGAAAAGAAAAAGGCTATAGTTGTCTCAAGAAAGATAAACTAAAAAAGTGCTACAATAATAACTCAACATGGACGAGGTCAAAACTACTTTTATCCCACTTGCTGCTTTGATTAAATTGAGAGTGAAGTTGTGTACTTCAAATGAGGAAGAAAATAAAGATATGCAACGGATTCCTTATCCCTCGATTGCAAGTAGTTTGATACATACTATGTTGTGTACTTAATCAAATATAACTCATACAATTAGCGTTCTAAGCCGATTCATGTTGAATCCGAGCAAAGAACATAAGACTTTAGTGAAGTAGATTTTGAGATATCTTCGGTGTGCTTTGAGCACGAGTTTAGGTTTTAGTTTGGTTATATCGGTGCTTTTTGATTATATAGATTTAGATATGACTTAAGATATTGATAGAAGAAATCAACTTTTGGATATTGATAACTTTTGTAGGGGAAGATGTTTAATGGAAATTCAGATGGTAGAAATAGATCGCACTATCTTTCACTAAAATTGAGTTTATTGCTACTACCGAGGCTTACAAGGAGTTTTGTGGTTGAAAACTTTTATAAGTGAAATTGGTTCTACGGAAAAAAAAAAAAAAAGAAAAAGAAAAAATAAAAAGTGTTATGTATTGTGATAATCAAAGTGTAATCCATCTTAGTAAGAATTCTACTATTAATAGAAGATCAAAACTTACTGATACAAGATATAGTTCAATTGAGAGGCTTTGGATTCTAAATTGTTTGAAGTTAATAAGATCCACACGGATGAAGTTATGATCAATGATCTTTATCATCTTAGATGTTCTCGAGATCATTGTTTTTTCTCCATCTTTTTAATTTGAGTTCTTTTGAATTTTATTGGTTGGTATTTTGGAATTAATTATTTTGTTGTTGAGAGATCTTTTGCAATTAGACTTTAATTCTTGTAATTGATTGTGGAGTTATTTGGTAGCATATAATTGAGATTATCTATGATTGTACAAACTTGATTGATATGGTGAGATTTTGCCATTCTTTCTGTTCTTGGAACAGAATAAAGATATTGTCAGGGCAATGTAATTGGTATTATGGAAGTGTATATTTTTTTGGCCAAAGGTGAAGTGATTCGATTTGTTATGTTAGATCCTAAAAAAATTATTGGGCCCCAAAATAAAAATGAACTAAATATAAATATAAAATGGGTTTAGATTTTGTGGTTAGTAAAAATTTTAAATTAAAATAATTATATGATGCTATATGAATAGGTGTTGATATAATATTTTAAATATAAAATTAATTTTCAGTATAAAAATAGATATTTGATGTGATTTTTTTTAGGAGAACAAAATCTGGTAAATAATAAAATTTTGGGTAAAAACTCTCTAAAGAACACACCTTAGAGTTTGTTTGATTTTGACTACAAATTAAAATCAACACTATTTTATCTTATAAAATCTTATACTTTCTCCTTTCGGTAAATTTATAACTTTTGGGTCCAACATGGATATTAAGAAAATAAATATTTTCTTGAGGAAACAATAAAATAAAAAAAGTAGTTGGATATATTTTTGAAAATTTAGTTAAAAATTTTTTAAAAAAAGAATATGAAAGATAATAAAGTTAGCGACAATTGTTGTCCAAATTAGTAATGTAGTAAATTTAGTAGACAAAATAAAAATAAAAGTTAGAGTAAATTTTGAACATAGAGAATACTAAAATAAAATTTAAACTAAATAAAAATGTAATGTTTAATGTTGCTGACATTACAAATCTACACCACACTAATTTATCCAGCTAGCACATATAAAACAAACAGACAATATATATTGTTATACTCCGTCCATTTGGTCCGTCTCTGAAGGTCTCATTTATCTTTTGCATCATTATATTTAACAATAAAAATATCATTGTATAATTTTTTTATATAAATATTATTTTCTATTAGTATTATAAGACACTAATTGAAGTATTTTTGCATTTTTTTAATTTATATTACGTTTTGATATAATAATTAATATTAAAAAATCAATATAAAAAAAAGTAAATGACACCCGTAGAGCCGGACGGAGGTAGTAATAAAATTGAATTATATCATATAATGTTAGTTTATGTATTGAATTTGTATTATATTAATAAAATTTATATATTGTCTATTTGTATATCATGTATTATTTGTTCTGACATGGTATGTTATGTGTAACTATCAAAATCACGAAAACCCCAATATTTCTCCGTGTCTTCACTCCCGTTCGTCGATTATCAGCACTGGCCATGGCCGTACTGTCAAATTCTTACTGTGTAAACAAATGACCTAACGTATCAATTAATCTCGACCCTTGATTTCGATTACCTTAGCCCCTATCATCGTGCGGTCAGAACTCGCCCAATCTCAGAGGCGACGAACGCATCGACGACCGCATATCTCACTTGATCGAACGTCAGCCGTCGATTATCCCAACCGCTCAGCGCCACCGCTTTCGGCTTCTCCATCTCCTTCCCCAGCACGCTCCTCGCCATCGTCTTCAACCCCGCATTCTTCAAACCATTAAATTCCCGCCCCTCCACCGCCGCCGCCATCCGCCGCAAGTCCACCGCCGCCGCCGCTGCCGATTCAATCCCGTAGTCCCGCCGGAGCTTCTCCAGGTCGGCGATAATCCCTACCCCGACGAAGGTGTGAGGAGACTGCGACAGGAATCGGATCAGGGCGACGGGGACGTACGGCGAATGGATTAATTGGTAGACGAGGCAGCAGCGGCCGGCGCAGAGCTGAAGGGTGGCGGCGGGGTTCGGCGGGCCGCCGCGGACGGTGGTCGGGCGCCATTCGACGTCGAGGCCGACGGTCAGGCGGTGGCCGTACAGAGAATTGATGTCGTGGATCCATTCGGCGACGGCGGAAGGGTGGTGGGTTACGGTGGCGTGGATTATGTCGTTGTAGAAAACGATGCCGTAGGTTTCCGCCGGCGGCCGGAGGTGGCGGTGGCAGAGGCAGTCCGGCGTCATTGTCCGCCGTTGAGAGTTCATTTTGGGGCAGTTGGATGTATGGATGTTATTTTTTTAGAATATAGGTTTATCATCTTTGTTCATACTGTGTTTTTAGTGTGCACAATTCTTTTATAAATATTAATATGAAAAAGTACAAATTAATATAATCATATATATATATATATATACTAAGTATAACCGGTGCTAGGGTTATTTTTATATTAAATTATATACTTAATTTAATAATTTTATAAATAATACTTATATATTTTCTATACAATTATATACTTATATTTTTATATAAAATATAGTACGAATTAAATCAATTTGGTGTGGTTGTTTGAGGGTTTGAATTTTGAATTGGGATTTGAATAGTAAAAATTTTGAATTTGAATAGTTGTATGATGTGATATAAATATGTGTTGACGTGATGTTTTGAATGTAAAATTGATTCATAGTATAATATAAAAAATAAAGAATAGATGTTTGATTTGATGTTTTTTGGGGAAAAAATTGGGTGAATAATATAAATCCAATCCAATCCCTCAAACAAACACATATATTTTTTAAAAACTATAGATACAATTGCATTAATAGTACTATCAAATTTAAAATATTAATTAACTCAAATGAAATCATAAAAGTTGAAAAAAATAAATATATACATATATTTACACAAAATACATTCTATTTTAATAAAAAAATAATTTTTTTTTATATTAATTACATATTTTTTCATACTAAATATTATAACTAAACACAACCTTAATATTTGTTTAACTTTTTTATGTATTTTTCTTAGAATTACTTTTTTTATCTTCTAAGATAGCTTTTTGCGCATAAAAAAAATCATATATACATATTAAATAACTCATAAAACTAGAATTTAATCACAATAAATCTATAAAATATATTACTCCGTTCGGTTCTAAGGGTCTCATTTATGTTTTGAATATTGATATTTAAATATTAATTATTATATCAAGTACAAATTAAGAGGAAAAGACAAAAATGCTTTTATCAGTGTCTTATAATACTATTACAATAAAAAAATTATATAAATATAAACATATTTTTAATGTTAAGTACAATGACACAATAAGTAAATGAGACCTTAGAGCCGGACGGGAGGAGCAATAAATATAAATTAAAAATTAAAAATATTATTAAGATAATCAAATTATTTTCATTTATATTTTTCATCAAAAAATATTTTTCATCATTTTTCTATCTTTAAATAACAAAACAAAAAACTGAAAAAAAATTTAAAATCGTAGTATATAAAATAATAAATACAGCTAATAATAATAAAACTATATATAATCAAACGAACTCATAAAATATAAAAAATATTATTAAAAATTAAAGTAAACACAATTATTTTCTTCTGTATTTTTCTAAGACTTTTTATATTCATCCCTTTGAATTTGAAAAAGATAATTATATAAAAAAAATTATATTTAAATAAATGCATAAATATTTTTAATTTAAAATAAAAATTAATTTGTTTTTTTCACGTATTGCTTTTCTTTCGTATTTTTTAACATCTTTTTTATTTATCTATTTGAAACAAAAAAAAAAAAAACAGTACAAAAAATTATATTTAAAGAAAATAATTAACAGTGATAATATAGTATTTAATAAATTTATCAAATATAAAAAAAAATTAAATTATAAATATTCTTACTGTAATAATATTTCATATTTTTATTTTTATTTTATTATAGTTGACAATGATCCAGTGGCTTTTTGAGTGGCTTTCTAACAACACCTTCAAACAACGAATTAAAAAGTTAGTATTGAAATAGTAATAATAATAATAACAACAACAACAACGTATTTACAAAGTTGAGAAAAATAATAATCACTTAGAAGAAAATAAAAATATTTTTTTAAAAATAATCGATGAATTGTTATAACTATAAGAGAAACAGTCATATACATCAAAATAATTTATTCACTTATACCTACTACTATTTCTCCCTCCGTCATTCTCTAAGGTCACATTTATCTTTTGCGTAATTGTACTTAACATTAAATATATCCTTATATTTGTATAATTGTTTTGTACAAATGTCCTTCTATAAGACACTAATAAAAATATTTTTGTAATTTTTTCTTAATTTGTACTACGTTTTGATATAATAATTAACATTCAAATATCAATACACAAAAATTAAATAAAATCCTTAGAGTCGGACGAATATAATATTAAATTATAATTTATTAAATATAATAAGAATTAGAATAAATTTAAATAAAAAATAAAAAGACCAAAATATAACCATCTTTTTTCCTTTTTTTGTTTTTCTTCCTCTCACATTCTCTTACTCCCTTCTTCCTTCTCTTTCCGTTGCGAATTTGCCCATCTTCTTTTTTCCTTCACAATCTTCTTTTTCTTCTTCTCCCCCTTTGTAATAAAAAAAAGCTTAAAAAAAATTGCACGCATCATTCTAGGTATCTTTTTCCTTCTTCTTTCTTTTTATTATTCTTATTTTTTTTTTCTAATTTTCTTTTTCTCTCCCTTCTTCTCTACCAACCCGTAATGAAGAGAATTGAAGAAGAAGAAAATTGAAAATAAAGAATAAGTAAAAAAAGAAAAGGAAGAGAGTAGTAGAAAGTTGAATACAGGATATCGTCGTTTCCAAACCTGCACTGTGTTGGATAAAAATCTCATAATAATTTTTGTTGTGGCGATTTTGGCTTAATCTCATGTACATATATAGATATACGAAACCCTCGTTTCATCTATATTTTTGTTATTTAGTATCTCGATTGTTAGATTATTTGTTATTATAACAAATTTACTTTAATTATCCAAACTTATTATAAAAAAAAACTCCAAAATTATGAGAGTACACGAATTAAAGTGCCTTGTCAAATATATATATATATATGATTTTGACATAATAGGTCTGCGTGGCTTGCGGGCCGGGTATTACAGTTGATATCAGAGCCAACATGTGACAACCCATAATCATTGATCTGGTCTGCTGAAGGGCCTAGGAGTTGAAAGATCTTTGGGATGCAACATGAATAGTTCATTCTTAAGTGGGGGGAGGATGTGATATCCTGAAGTTGGGCCAGTGCTAGACCAACTTCGACGAATTTCTTGGAATATTATGAGAAGGAGGCATAAGGAGATTTTTAACTCTACCGTACTCTACTCAACAAAATAATGAGGCCGAAAGAGAAAAATAAAACTCTTGACATGGTTTGGTAAATGCTAAAGAGCAAAAAGATGTCGAAGGAGTTTTTGGTGGAAGCTTTACAATGTGCCATCTATATACAAAATAGATCTCCACTCGTGAAGTTGTGTGATCAAACAACACAAGAGAGTTGAGTGGACAAAAACCGATGATTTCTTATTTAAAAGTATTCGGTAGTGTGGCTTATGCACATATACCAAATTAATTAAGGAAAAAAAAAAAACAAAGACAAAAGAAAAAAATATATTTTTATTGGAAGAAGAAAGAATGGTACAAGCTGCTTGACCTAATTAGCAAGAATGTGATGGTGAGCCGTGATGTGTGAGTAGATGAAGCAAGTTAGTGTGATTGGAATAATTTGATGGAAAGTGAAGGAATCATCAGCTATTGCACATAAGCTATCAATATGTTTTGAATTTTTTTTTTTTTTATGATGAAGATGAACCAAAACAGCCCTGAATACGAGCTTGCAAGAATTGTATGATTTGACTAAAGAGGTTCATTTGTATGTGTTTTGGCTGGTTTTTGAAAATATTAGCTTTGAATAGGTGGTATGAGACAAGAAATGACAACTTTCCATGGATGAGGAGACCAAGACGTTTTAACCACAACAACACATGAAAGTTAACAAAATTCTCGGAAGGAAATAAGCCCATTGGAGTTAAGTGGGTATTCAAGAAAAAAATGAATACTCACGGGAAAGGGTACAAGGCGCAAATTATTGCGAAGGGATACAAGACTAGGACAAGAATTGACTATGACGAGGTGTTTTCTCCTGTTGCAACAACAGAGACAATCCGATTACCATTTCACAAGTTCCTCAATTCAAATGGCCAATATTTTAGATGGGTGTCAAATCCGCATTCTTGAATTGTGTACTTGAAGAAGATATCTACATCGAACAACCATCCAGATATGTAAAAGTTGGAGAAGAGAGGAATGCACTAAGATTGAAGAAGATGCTCCATGAGTTGAAACAAGCACTGTGGGAATGGAATACATGTATTGATACATATTTCAAGAGTGACCGGTTCAATCAATGTCCCTATGAGCACACTCTTTATACAAAGAAGAATAGAGGTCATTAACATGTTATTTGTTACTCTTTTTATGTTGATGACCTAATTTTTATGGGTAACAATTATGACATGATAAAAGAATTTAAGGATGCCATGAAACGATAATTTGAGATCAAAGATTTGAGATTAAAAAAAATAAAATTGGTTTGAGGTTCGAAAAGTAAAGATAGGTATTTGTATCATAAGAAAAATATGCAACTAAGATTTTAAAGAAGTACAATATGGATATGATTGCAACCCGGTATCAATGCCTATGAAACCGGATGTAAAACTCTCAAAGTTCGATATAGGAGAGGTGTTGATGCAAGTAGATACTGAAGTTTTATAAGAATCCTTAGTTATCTCACGTTTACAAGGCCGGATATTTTATTAAGCAACGGCATCATAAATTGGGTCTTGGAAGAGCCAATCTATTCATATTGGAAGGCATTGAACCGAACCTACAATACATTTAAAGAACAACATCACTTGGGATGTTCTACAAGAGAGGTGGTGATTACAAGTTGATTGGGTATTCCGACAATGATGGGTGTGGTGACATAGATGATCAGGAAAGCACCATAGGATATGTTTTCTTCATGGAAAATACTGTGCTTACATGGGAAAACAAAACCGATTCTGTCACTTTCCTTTCGATGACCTATGTTGTGTTGAAGCGATATCTATCTAATATGATCGATTGCGTAAAGCCAATGTGTGAAGCTGAATATGAGACAACATCTTGATGTTTATGCCATGAAATATGGTAATAAATTTGTTGTTCAGGATGAAATTGAAGCAGCCACTTGCAACTACAATTTAAGTTGACAACAAATCAATGCCAAA